AGCTGACTAACAATTGAGCGGGAGAATTTTCTCTCTCATATGTAGTGGTTTTAGGAATAAGAAGAAGCAGAAGATAAGCTTGCTAATAATTGATCGGGACAAAATTCCCTATCATATGTAGTGTTTTTAGGTATTAGAAGACAAACTTTGAGCACGAGAATTGAGCAGAATAATTTTTTATTTCATATGTAGTACTTTTAGGTATTAGAAGTTAAACCTGCTACCAATTTAGCGATGTAATTTTTACTTTCATGTATAGTGCTTTTAGGTATGAGATAAACCGGCTAACAATTGAGCGGGAGAATTTTCCCTCTCATGTGTAGTGATTTTATGTATAAGAAGATAAGCTTGCTAATAATTGTTTCGGGAGAAATTTCTCCTATCATATGTAGTGTTTTTAGGTATAGAAGATAAGATTCCTAACAATTAAGAAAGGGGGATTGAGCGGGATGACTTTCTCTATCACATGTAGTGCTTTTAGGTATTAGAAAATAAGCTTTCTAACAATGGAGCGCAATAACTTTCTCTATTATATATAGTGCTTTTAGGTATAAGATAAGACGACTAATAATTGAGTGAAAGAATTTTCGCTCACATATGTAGTGGTTTAGGGTATAACAATATAAGCTTGCTAATAATTGAGCAGAAGAAATTTTTCTATCATATGCACGGCTTTTAGGTATTAAAAGATAAGTTTGCTAACAATTGATCAGGGGAATTGAGCGGAATAATTTTCGCTCTCATATGTAGTGCTTTTAGGTATTAGAAAATAATTTTTCTTACAATTGAGAGGGATAATTTTCTTTCTTATAGGTAGTTCTCTCTCATATGTTAGCACTATTTTAACTAATGAATAGCAAGTTCTTATTTAACTAATATTCGTTAATTTTAATATTTGTCGTATTTACTTAAACTTTATGTCATTCACTTATTGTATTTACTTTTTTAGAATTGTATTCAATTTTAAAATTAATTCAATCATGAAAATTAATAGATAATAATTTCTAATGAGTGGTTTCAATTAATTTTTCCTAATATACTCTTCATTTAATATTTATTGTATGGATTACTTTATGATATTAATTTATTGTACTCTTTTTCTCTCTCTAAAATGTAGAATCCTAAAAAGTTATTTTTGTTTTAATACTTAATTAGATCATGAGTAAAAATAAATGCACCAACGACTATTTCCCGCACGTATGCAAGGATACTATACTAGGTTAAAAGACAATTGCACCCTTCATTAATTCTATGTGCAAGGATACTATAACAATGCCATGTGTCAAATTCTATATTTTTGTATTTGGAAAAGGATAACTACGGTACTACTTACATAATAGCAATAGCATCGGAAGGTCGGTTGAGGAGAGATTAAATTCTCGGTGCCCATTGTATAAAAAGTACTTTTTTTAGAGTCGTATAACTTTTTCATTTCTACTCTAATTATTATAAAAATATATCAAAAATCATAGTTTTTTACGGTCTTTCATATGACATCAATATTTAATATATATAATTTAAAACAATTATGAATGTTTATTAAAGCTTCCTATTTTCCAATCACGATATCAATTATTCCGTATTAAATGAATAAATAATTTGTAATATATAAATAAAATAAGGTTAATGGATACAAATACGACTTATTAATTTTAGTTACTATAATTGTGGTTAAAATTATATCAAAGTGACTAGAAAAGGATGCTAAGCACAGTTATCTTCAAGAATTTATTTGAATGCCTTCCCGGTTGAAATTTTAGCTGAAATTTTGTATGAGTAAACTAGACTTAATGACTATGATGCTCAAAAAATTTCATCAAAAAGTTCCACCGGGAACCGCCCCAAATGGCGTCGGCTGAACAGAGCTACCTATATAAGGCTTTTTTTGACCTTTTTATGTAAATTCGAGGCCCTATTTGGCCCTTTTCCTAGATTATATCCTTTCTATTGTAATTTTAATTCACAAATTTCAACAATTTTATTGTGATCATTTGAAAAATCACTCCATATATTCATTCTATATAGTCACCACTATTTATTTTTTACCATCATTATAAATTGGTGCTTAATGAAATGTTCACATATACGTAACTTTTTTGGCTTAATTGGCTGAAATTGTTGTAAAAGACCATTTTAGCTATTATCATAAAAGTATATATTTTTTAAGTCTCACATAAATATATTAGTTAGAATAATGTATCAAAGTTTATTATTTTTTACTGAGAAAGTCAAAGATGATTAAATAAAAAGGGACGGAGGTAGTCATCATCATCATAATACCTACAAGTAATAAAAATCTAATACTCCCTCTGTATTTTTTGTTTGCTACACTTTCCTTTTTTGGATGTATTAAAAAATTTGCTACACTTTCCCTTTTTGGTATGTTTTTCCTTTAAAAATACTCAACTACCCTTATTTTTTCTACTTTTTATCTTATCTTTCATATTTTTTCACCACCTCTCCTACTTTCTTACACTATTCATTGCGTCTACTATTTCACTCTTAAAAAATGTGTCAACACCTATTGTAAAAAAAATACGGAGGGAGTATTATTTCTCTCTCATAGTCTCATATGTAGTGATTTTAAGTATATAAGATAGACGGACTAATAAGTGAGCGAGAAAGTTTTTTCTCTCATATGAGTCATATGTAGTGCTTTTATGTATAAATAAATATATGTGAACTAATAATTGAGTACAATGATTTTCTCTCTTATATGTGATTTTTTAGGTACTCCGTATAAAATAAGATAAACAAGCTAATAATTGAGTGGAAAATTTTTCTTTTCATACGTAGTGTTTTTAGGTATAAGAAGATAAACCAACTAATAACTGAGCGGGGAATTTCTTCTCTGATATATAATGTTTTAGGTATAAGAAGATGAGCGGGATAATAAATGAGCGGGAGAACTTTTTATCTCATATGTAGTAGTTTTAGGTATGAGATAAGTGTACTAATAAGGGAGAGAGTATTTTTCTCTCATATGTAGATATAAGATAAGCGTATTGATAAATGAGCGGGAGAAGTTTTTCTCTCATATGTAATACTTTTAGAGTTGTAGGCATAAGAAATGCAAACAAATAATTTAACGAAAGAATTTTCTCTCTCATATGTTGTATTTTTAAGTATAAAATAAGATGAGCGGACTAATAATTGAGCGGAAAAATTTTCTCTCTCATACTAATGCTTTTAGGTATAAGAAGATAAATGGACTAATAATTGAGCGGGGTAACTTTCTCTCATATGTAGTATTTTTAAGTACTCCGTATAAAATAAGCGGACTAATAAGTGAGGGAAACATTTTTTAATATCATATGTAGTTGTTTTAGATACTATCCTCCATTATTCGTGCAAATATATCTTAATAATTATTCTGAATAACTATTCTATTTTAATATTTGATTACATCATCATAAGTATATATGCATCAACTGCTTTTCACGTGCGTATGCACGGGTACTATACTAGTATTATGATAAAAGAGAATCTTTATTTATCTTTCAAGGATTTTTCTAGTAGTGTGTCCTTGGGCATATGATAGAAAGAGACTAGTATGCTTATTCTAAATTTTCCAGAAATGACTGGTCAAGGTTTTTAAAATATCGATTTAAATCACAAAATCACAAGATTTTGTGATTCTACATTAATAAATTGATTTGAAGCGCAAACAAAATTGTAAAATCATAAAATCGCTATAAAGTATAGTAGAACCGTACATAATCATTCACAATAGTAGTACTCCCTCCGTCCCTGAATGTTGTTCCGATTACGGATTACGAAGGTTGACCGACGATAAAGTTAAATGATCCCTGTGAAAACTCGGATTATTTTTAGTAAATAAAATTTACATATTCAGAAACTACATTAAACCCGCTACAAAACCTGCACAAAAAAAATCAATTTTCATAAAGTTTTGATACAAAAAGTAAGAGTTTAAGAGTGATTTAAGTTGACTCTCGAAAAGCGAAATGGAAGTAAATTTAGGGACAGAGGGAGTATAATTTTTAGCAACATTGTAACAGGATCGCAATGATGATTTTTAGCTAAAATGGTTCGAATTCTAGATTTTAACAATGAGACTTTGATATACAATTCTAATAGTAATAAAATCAATAATATATTTATTGAAAGTAATAGATGATTGTATATTTGATTGTTTTTGTATTTTAGATATGTTTAGTGTTTATTATTTACTTCATTTGCACTATATACTATAATACGCAGTAATAGTTTATAAATTTTGTCTATTATCTTATATGTATAGTTTCAAGTTACGAGATGAGTTAATATTATTAATTTGTATGTTTGTTTTAAGATTTATATATTTTATAATATGAATATATCTTTTATAAAATTTTAAGATTTACAATTTCATTTTCAATAACCTTACCGATTCGATTTAAAAATAAGATTTTCATTACGTAGTGATTAATAATTTCTTGACATGAAAAGAATTTTCCTTTATAAAAATATGAGCTGCACTAAATGTAAATATACATCTGTCATATCGATAAATATATAACCAAATATAGGTAGTGATTTCATATCGTGTGTAGTGGTAATGAGTGTGAAGTGGTGAAGCTTATTTAGTCACACTGTCAGATCCACATACACTGCTAATAATTACTCCGTATTATTATTATTATTTTGGGTCCTGCAAATCTGTAGTGAAAATCTCTATAGAATACATTGATAATAAATTATGTCTTTTAAATTTAAAGTTTTTGTGCTAATAATTTGGCTATATGTTGGAAGGAGATATCGTAAAAATAAGACATTTAGATCTCAATTTTGATATTCCCTAATGTGAATCTCAGTTTTTTTTTTCTTATCAACATACATACATACACACACATATAAACATTCATACACACAAAGAGATCTAAACAAATACTTCATTCCACCACCTTCTCACCCAAAATCTTGAAATTGAAGTGTAAAATAGAATAAAATTTATTCTCGAGGAAGTGGGAGTGAAATATAAGAAAATTAACACTCACATGTTATGCCACAATGATTACATGGCCCTTCTCTGCCCATGGAAATCGTTGAAGATTTTCAAGTACTCGATATAATCTTCAACTCCAGAACTTGTTTGTCAACTCTATGACATACTTTGACTATCCAAAGAAGACTAATAAGACTTTTATTTCAAAAAGAGGGTAGGACGAGTATGAAACAATCGAGTAGGTTAGGAGCTTTTATTTGATTCTTCCACCACACGCATTTATTTGGGACTATATTTAACGGGAATTAAATTTCGTCCAAAGTTTTATATCTCGTCAACACGATTATCGTCGCATGCAGAGGGAAATGATGTATTTTATCTCTTAAAATTATTATATGTCTACCCTATTATTCCTGAATAGCTAAATTTTATGATATATGACTTTATTTATTGATCCTATGAAAGAGTAATTGTGTATTGAAATTTTAAATTTGTTAAAATTTTCATTAATTTATTCTCGGACGAAGATGTCTATTTCCTATTTTGTTTGCTATTGGACCACACCACACCTTTTTATGGGATTTAATTAATTACTTCTTTAATGATTAAATATTTGGTCATGGTAGACATCAATATCCTTTAAGGTATTGAAATAAATATTTTTTGGTGATAAATGTGGAGATGATTGGAAAATTCACATGTTTTCAAATACTTTGATTTCTATAAATTGGGTGTAATGTGTAATTAAAACCGCTATTTGCAACTAAATTGATACACTACAGGATTATAATGACATACCTTTAATGTTCATGACAATCTTATATAGTTATATTTAAAGTTTCAGAGAGAAAACAGTCCAGCTCAGATGGTCATCGACAAAGAGAAAACTTTGGCAATTTATACTCACTCTCCCATACGGGAGATCTGAGGTTTGAAACTCAATGGAGGGAGTTTCAGACGTGTTTACCCCATGCTCCCTTAGCCCGTGGTAAAATATACTTAGTATATATGTATATTTAAAGTTTTAGAATTCCTTCCATTGTTACCTTAAAATTTCCGATTTTGTTGACTCGTTTGTGGGTGGTAGCGCATGACGGATTACAGTTGAAGAATTTCTATCATGGGCGAGCAAGGGGGAAAATCTAAGAAAGCTCCTGAAGGCTGAAACTCTTTTGTGGGTCGAGACAATGGCTTTGTCCTTTACACTTACCAGGTTTTTGTGTCTTCCTTGTGAGATGGCTAATCAATGACAAATATGAAGAGATCCAATTCACGTCCTTTGCCAATGCTAAGCTTCAGAACTTTGAGCATCATTGACAAGATGAGTGAGACTAATGTGGCGTCCAGAAACCACTAGCTCGACAGTTTCTTCATTTAACTCATACACAAATTTATCTATGCCAAATTTAACAAAGTTTGTTTGATTCTAATTCAATATTAATTTATTCTTATTTTATCAATTTTATATCAACCATATAAACTTACTTTTGTTAATAACATCTCCCCATGTCCCAATTCAATGAGGATGGAGGCCGAACCACGTCACGGTCATAATACATTGGGTTTAAGGAGTATTGACTTCTACCAATCATATGTTCCATGTTCAAACAAGCTAATGTCGTGTCGGGGATGATTAGCTACCATAACGCACTATAGCACACGAGCAGTTTGTTCAAGCCAGTGGTATCAGTGTATCACCCCTTTCTTTGAAAAATATGGAGACACCATTCTTTTCTAATTTTTCGATGGTAATCTACTAAAGGGGTGGGTTCGGTTCAAACTATTCGGTTTTCACCTAAAACCAAATACCGAATCAAAGTAAAAAGTTTGGTTCGGTTCGGTTTTATGTTCAAAAATTTGAAACCATGGTTTGTTTAGTTCGGTTTATTCCGGTTCGGTTTTGGTTTTTTCGGTTTGTACCAAAATATTTTTGTTGATTACAAAAAGTGATTGGTAAATAAAAAATAGACTACATCAAACTATAATTAATTGTAATACAATACAAAAACATAATTAAACAAAGAGATCGAGAAGAAACAAATATAATGCATTTCCAAACAATGAATTAGAGAGTGTGCATTATTAAACATTTTATAAATTAATTGAACACATAACTTTATTTGCAAACTATATATAGTGTATCCGCAAGTTAAAATTTTAATTGTAAATGTTGTGTGCACTAATTCATTTTCTTTTTTACTAAAAGATTTTTATTGATAGCGAATAACTTAGTTTACTTTCTTTTTAGACAGAGATTCATGCTCATCATCAAGAGTTTCGCGTTTTTAATTATGTTGTTTAAAATATAGTTTATATTAATACACATTCGGTCAAGGGTGTTAACAAACACACATAACAAATAATGTATCAAGAAAATATCTTTGCCATGCAGCAACAAACAAAATTTAAATTATGATTTCATATCAATATATTAGTATTATAGTAATAGACTCGATAAAACCATAAATATCAAATGTCAATATCTTGCAAATCATAGTAAATCTAGTATCAAACATTAGTGTTCTAGAATTAAAACTTAAGAACTAAACAAGATATTAATATATTATACTTAAATAAATAAAATAACATGTTTTAAAAAGTTAGATTTGTTCGGTTCGGTTTTTTGAGTTCGGTTTTGATTTTCTTGCGGTTGCGTTGTTTTGGTTGCGGATCGGGTTTTGTCGATTCGGTTATCGGTTATCGGTTATCGGTTTTCCCGACCCACCTTAAGCCTTAGTCTCGGGTAAAGTACATTTTATACCAACTATTGAAAAAATCATCAATTTTGCTCCGGGAAAACCCCAATTGATGTTTTTCCTCATGATGAACACTTGCATGTTCAAGTCCATGGACAAGTGCATTGGACATAATATGATTAGATAGGTGTGATATGAACGAAAGACAAGTTAAACGTTGTGGAAGAACTTTCAATTACAAACTTCATCATCATCAACAACAACAATAACAATGCCACATTTACCAATCAAGTATACAAATATTTATCATACACGAAATAAAATATATTACCATATATGCAGCCTAGTGTAATTCCAAATATACAATAGTATGTAGTATAAAAGTTTCTATACTTCCCCAATCCCCATCATCAAAGACAAGTGTGGACATTTACAAGGGACCTCTCCTAAACTGCTTGGGCATGAAAGATCAACGCTCACACTACAGTTATATAAAAAACTAAGTGGAGGAGGATAATCGACTCAACCTTTGAGCCTTTCTTCTGGTCTTCTTCTTCTTGATCGTGGAGGAAGTCAACTTGGGGGGAAAGAGTTCTGAGACTGTATGACCATCAACACTAGGCGGTTCAGATTCTCCAACAACAGGATTGATCACCCTCTTTTTGTTTATTAGATCATCGTCTTCTACCTGCGAACATGCAACTAACTTCAGTTTAAATGTGATACTTACTACCTCCGTCCAACAAGATTGCCTGAAATAAGACTCTTTAAGATGGATGAAGTATCATGAATTAAGCATTAATTATTTATCAGAATAAATTATAGTTTGCCCTGATTATTTTCATTTTATGAAACTATTTTTGAGTAAATCTTAGGTAAATATGTTCGAGAGAGAAAATAATGTGTGTGCTACTACTGTACACCAAACTATTATAAAATTTGTCTATAAATTAATTGAAATCCGTTTTAATATTACAAAAGTACCTTGTGAGATGTCATGTGGCTAATCACATGCCACATGGCATTGCGTGGCATACCACATGGTATTTAATGGTAAAATAGATGAAAAAATAACAGAATGGTCAAAAATCAAAATGCTGTTAACTGTAGAGTATGGGGACTAATTGCTAGAACCTTTAGTTTGAGGGCAAAAACGATATCAGGGCAAAAGATGGGAAATCAAATATGCATTCAAGGACAAAAAGCTTATCACTCTATCCATTTAAAGATTTCTTCAGTCTATGTACGGGAGGTAGTTCAACCACAGGAGATGTGCATCACAATTATTATTGGAATAAGTAGGATAACACTATGGCGGCAAGCCGGCAAAGGATAGAAAGCTTACACTGTTCGGGTCATGAAAAAGAGGTTTGCTCGTGGTTTCAACTACCTGAGCGATGTTTACCCCATGTCCATGAGTTAAAGTGGAACCCCCTTGGGGCGCAATACCTATTTTGCCCCCTCCCTTTAGAGGAGGATGTTGAGGAGAGCTGCTCAATGCTTTACATGGTGAGGGCAGGCGCAAGTTCTCAGTGCTGGAGAACTTCACTGCAGTTTTGCTCAATGCCTTGTCAACTCTACTTCTAAGCTCCCTTACTTGTGATTCCAAAACGTCAATCTGACAGAGTATTTTTTCAGAGGAATTGTGTTCACCCTTGGCCACCAATCCATGATTAACCCAATCTTTTTCGAAGGGAATTGCTGCACAATAGAATTTCTACTTGTAATTAAAAAATTTAAAATTGCATAGAAAAGCTCCAATGGGAAAAAAGGTGAAAATATCAAAGGCCCCAAGAGTGATTTGAGTGCAAATGAATTTTTTAAAATAAAAAGAGTTACATAAAATCTATTTAGGCAATAAGTCATCAAAAACCACTTGTATTCTGTTTATTTGGATTGTAATGCTCATAAGCAGAATAAAATTCTAATTTTTACAAAGGATAGAATCGCATAGAATAAACTCCAGTGAATAAAATCATTGAAAAGATCGAGAGCCTTTTTGGCAAGGGCTGTTTGCCTGAAATCCACATCTGCTAGTTTCTATAAAAAAAAAGCATTTAGTACTACCAATCTTACCCAAAGATTTAAGACAGACACTTGATGAGCTTATTCTACCAAAAAGGGTTCATATATTATAAGCATCTGGAGTACAATTGGTTTTGTTGACATCTAGAAAAATCAATGAATGCAACATTGGCTATTTGGCATCCAAGAAAGGTCTTGAACTTATGACATTTACATAATAATGTAAACATAACTAAATCTCCGCATGGAATAGGGCAATAGGTGAAAGAGAGGTTTGATCGATTTCAAATAAAAATGGGCTATAGCTTGAGGCATTCATTGCTTGATAATTTTAGACAAATTTACTTTTACCATTAAAACATCAAACAATGCAAACCCTTCTCTAGATTAAAATCCTACATCCCAGGTTAGATTATCCAGTTCTGAAGTGGAAAGGCCTCATGAGATGAACCAAATAAGATACTCCCTCCGGTTCACATTCTTCTTTACACTTGGAAAAAAATGCTTGACCGACGATAAAGCAACTCGATCCCTGTTCACACTCAGATTATTTTTAGTAAATAAAATTTACATATTCAAAAACTACATTAAAACCGCTACAAAGCCTGATCAAGAAAATTTAAATTCGATAAAAATTTGATATATAAAGTAAAAGATTAAGAGTGATTTAAGTTGACCAATGAATAGTGAGTGTAAAGAAGAATGTGAACCGGAGGGAGTAGTTAGATAGCTAAGAGGAAAGGGTGGATCTAGCTGTAGGTTGAAACATAAAGAGTAACATGCATCTTTTGTCCTTTCGAATTTCAATTAGTAAAACCGTCCTTGAATCAATTCATTAAGACAAAGGCTCCCTAAATGCACACAGGGAAGCATGATGAAAAGGACGAAAACAACAAAAATTAGTCATTAGTCAAGACAAAAAGGACAGTGCACCTATAGGGCCAAAAGCGTCGTTGACTGAAGCACCTTCAGCACTAGATTCTTTATGTTCTGCATCATGCCAATACCATGTCACAGCTTGCACCATAATGCAAATAGATGGAAGAAGAAAACGAAGATTTGTCTTCACCGTAATAAGAAAACAAATTGTGGCGAGACATATACACAGAAATATCCTCAGTATCTTCAGCTCTTCTTCTTTTCTTTCTTCGTAGGCTCTTATGCCTGAGTGTCTTATTGGAAAAAGGAAATGCCTTTGCACATAAACCTTCCGCTGTAACATTTTCCATCTGAAAATCCCTATGGTGGTTGAAGAATGAAAGTTCTTTGTCATATTTCCGAGATTGGCATTGAATTTGCATTACTTGCAACTCAACCCACTTAATACGCCATGAGAGGGATTGCACAAATGCTCTCCAGTGAGAGGCTACTTTTTTCTTCCTGAAAGTCAATGTAAAAATGTCAGAATCCATCCAAGTTAAATCACTAAGGATCTGGTTGGATGGGGAGGGTATTGAAAGACTTTGGAGGGGAGACATTGCGGCATTGAAGGGATTTGTCTACATCTTGAATCTTGATATATATACTCCATCTTACGCTTAAAAAGTTGAAATATTGACATTATATGTTTTCATATGCGATCATACAACATTCCGATCACGTTTTATTTTATTTTTACTTTAGAGGCAATCTATTTTCACAGATGTGGGCTAATCCCTCTCCTCAAAATGCCTACAAAATCCTTCAACCAAAACGACCCTAAATGTAATATAAAAAAAAGAAAGAGATACCAAACAGGGGTTCTATGGAGAATAAGGAATCAAGAACATTTGAACCCTTCCTCACCCCATTTTAAGCAGATGCATGGAAAAAACAGTATTGCTTTAATGGTTAAGTTGCTGAAGTTGAAACTCGTGCTGTGTCTGAATAGGTGTAAAATGGATGGAAATGAAATTGGTTCCTCTTTATTTTCTCTCAGGGAAAGGTAAATGAGGACATGTGAAGATAACATTACCCACTTATACTTGATGATTTTCTTCACAAATACTACCTCTGTCCCACTAAGTTTGGGACAATTCGGTTTACAATGCTTGACCAACAATAAAGCAAACAGATCCCTGTCTGCACTCAAATTATTTTTTATAAAAAACAAATTACATATTCACAAACTACATTAAAAGCTTTACAAAGTTGAAAAAACCAGAATCGAATTTGATAAAAATTTGATATATAAATTAAGAGATTAAGAGTGATTTGTGTTGACCAAGTGAATAGTGTCCGGGGCATTCTTAGCGGGACAGAGGGAGTATATGACAAAAAATAAGGTGAAAACTGAAAACTACACTTCAACTCCTTTTTAGGGTACAACAGAAGTAAACCTTTCAACTCACTGAATAGCACGTACAGAACAAAAAACTTCACTTCGTGTGCCTTTCAGTACAGGATCTCTATTTATACTCTCTCTCTCTCTCTCTCTCTCTCTCTCTCTCTCCACCTTGCCTTCCAATCCAAAGACATTTTTTCTCCTCCCCTATCCAACTATTTTCTAACCTGTTTTCGTTACCCTCTACATTTTAACCATCAAAGCACAACAATGAGACATTGAGACTAAATGAAGACAAAAACAAAACGCGATTTAGCAAGATCAGTGAAGTGTACACCTCTTGGAGGAGTGTGAAGATCATTGAAAAGTTTCAACTTTGCATAGTAAATGGCCTAGCAAGGAGTGTATTCCTTTGGAAAAGAGTGAAACAAAAAATAAACACAAACAATTATATCATATGAAGGCAATTCAAAGTCACTAATTCACGATAAGGTGTTGTTGTGTGCCCGAGAGGTCTCTTGTCAAAATTTGTCAGGGGGAAGGCTTTCCCTTATACACACTTGTGGTGGGACCCTTCCCCAGACCCTAGCCTTGTGGGTATGGCTTCGTGCACCGGGCTGCCCCTTTATAATTCTAGGTTGGGTCAAGTATCCAACTTCAGCCTACGCATAATAGCAGGGTATAAAATGAGTTTATTTTTTAGGATATAAGTTCTGGAAGATAGAAATCACCTCTTCTTGAACTCATCTCCCAAGACACTATGTGATTGTGAAGAGACATCACACCAAGTAGAGCTAGATCCAATTTCAGCATCAAAAGGAGCATCACCATTTTCTATCCAAGAGGCTGAACTGTCAAACGAGCTTGAGCTCTCAGTCATGTATCCACATTCTGGTTTAACCAGCTCCTTGAAGCAAGAATTTGTAGCTTGACGTGTATCAATTTCCACATGATCTATCCCGTGGACCTCACCCTTTTGTTCAGAAATGAAAGAATAATCATCATGGTTCCTTGGGCTTGCAAATTCACTATCCTTCAAGGCAGAAGCTGAAGTAGAAGCTTCTGATCCTTTGTTGAACCCTAACTCAAGACTCATACTTAGAAGTCAACTCATATTCGGAACAAATCCACACATAAGAACCTGCGCGAAAACTAAACATAAGACTTACTGGACGGATAGCAAATTGCAAATTAGCAACACAATAGTGCAAGTAAAACTTAAACATACTCAACTGATAGCACAAAAAAGATGCACGCAGCAAGTAGATGAACAGATAAACTAAAAACATTAAACAAACGATTTTTGTATGTAACCAGCATTACGATTTCAGGAATGGCCGCAGACAAGATGCAAGCGATCAAATACTGATCGAGTCGTAAGCTCGTAAAATAGATAAGCCTAGAAAAGAAACGTACCTAGGGATGAAGAATCCGGAAATCTGAAGACTGTTATGAGGTGTGATTCTCAGTTTTGGGTACGGCGGGGCGCGGACAGTTTCAGGCTCTCACCGGCGTCGGAGCGGCCGGATGTGATGATTTAATTGATTAATCAATTGGATAATAAATAATAAACAAAATAGGAAAGTCATTTGTCATGAGTAAGATACAAGTTAGTTGACTAATATTAACAGCTTTTTTAAATAATTCTAAAATATATCGGATTAAAATGTGATAAAATTATTCTAAATAAATACGGAGTATATTATTTGTAATGTAAAAGTAAGCGTAATTATTAAAAGGGACTTTATTATAAATTCAAGACCTGAAAAATAAAATCGGGATAGCATTCAAATAATCGAAAAAACTATCGATTAAAGACTTAACAAATGATTTGTTTATTTTTTATTATTCCATTGCTAATTCCAACAACTAAAATTATTTATAATCATTGAAGTATAAAAATATTATCATTTTCTTATTTTGGACTTCACTAACGTTTTATTTCTCACTTTATCTCTTTACCTATCATCGCACCACTTATTTTTTGTGAACTCATCTTACTCTTTATTACTTTTTGGAGGTTAAAAGTATAAAACAAACACTTTATTCTTTATTTTCTTAAAACTCGTATCAAACCCAAGTGCATCTTACGTTATCAGACCCAAGTGCATCAAACTCGTATCAACTCGTATCAAACTCGTATTAAACCCGAGATCATATTATCCTTTTTATTGCTAAAATTGTTGTCCTAAGTGATGCAAATAATTATTTGTTGCTTTTTATTAAAAAGTTAAAAATAAATGTGTTATTTTTTATGTATAATGTTGTCCGAAACAAAAAAAATGAAGATTAAAAAACCAACTCCAAATGTACACTTTTAGTCCTATGAATTTTATGTCTATTCCATATTATGTCCACGTATTTCAATTTATCCACTTTTGATACTTGACTAATGGTTCTTGAATGACCACTTGTGGTCGTTTTCCAGTAATTTTAATCACTGAAAACATTGATAGAAGGATCATATAAAGGCAAAAAAGCAATAATTGTGTACCAAAAGTGATCAAAGTTATAAACATAAATCAATTGTGGAATTGGTGCAATATCCATAACATCAAAAGTGGAATTTGTTTCGAAAGAAACCGTTGAATCATTTGTGTGTATGTTTTAGGCATGCCAAATACATAACATGTTGGCTAATACATAATTTATGTATGGTTGACTAATACATAATTTGTATGTATGTATAGTGATGGACCGTGACCGGGCAAACCAGCCCGGACTGCCACTGTGCGGTACAAGACCGGCCCGGTTGACCGGGACCGGGCCTAGGACCAGGGGGTGTTTTGGGGACGGGCTCAAAATGCAGCCCTCTTGGAACCGGCCCGGCCGGTCCCGGACCTTTTTTTCGAATGGTTTGGTAAGAGGCGGGTTGGGCTAGGTGGTTTGGGGGTGTTTGGGGGGTGGGGGGCGTTAGAATTAATAAGCAAAAATAAAGAAAAACACACATATATATAGTACCCGACCTGGTCCCGACTTTAGACCGACCCGGACCCGGTCCCAACCCGGGACCAGTCCATCCCTATGTATGAGGTAGGCCGGACGCATGTATTGTTGGCTAACACATATGAATGAATATATGATAGGTAGGCAAGTTTGTATGTGACATCACATGTTGGCTAATACCTACTCCGTAATTTATGTATTGTTGGCTAATACATAATTTGTACTCGTATGTATGTAGGTAGACCGTAGGCATGTATAGAAGAAGCCGACCAATTGTTCATCTCAAATTTGAACTGTATTGGACAACACAAAGAGGAACAGAAGAACAACCAATACATTAATAGAAGAAACAGAAACAGCAAGAAAACAAAGACGGACAACCAAGAATGACACTAAAAAAAGTTAGGCATGACTCATGAGAGAGCAGGGGAATTGTGTCCCTCCTTCAACTACAAGAAAGCACAACTCAGAATCCCAGAAAGTGCACATAAAAGTCACCTGCAACTATTTTCATGCACAATTTTCTAACGTACCCAATTATTACCCTGGCTTTATCATATGAGAGAAGAGGACACCACAAACGATCCTTCATCCACATTGGCACAACTGCTGCTAAGATAATCCACCAAACAGTCATTATCCCTTGAATCATCATCTCTACCCATCACATCATTATTTCCTCCGTCTGATATGGTAGATTTGGTTCCATTTTCCACGTGGACCCCGCTCCCGCCTAGGAGGATTTCTAGAGGCAACGAAGCCATACCTGACAAATCTTCTTCATGTGATCCAAAACTCACCTCCAGAATAGGAATATTAAAATCCATACTAGGCACCGAGTGGCGGGTTCTTTCCAATATATCAGCACCTCCACCACCACTTTCCACCATCTCGGATTTAATCATTGTTTGGCTCTCTTGCAATGCATAATCTGAGCTTATTTCCTCATTTATCACATGATTCACTGAGTCATCATTGAGTGTACATGTTTCATTGCTTTCCCTTTCACAAGGCTGCAGATCGTCTTCTAAATCTTCCAAAGTGAACTTGGGAGCTGTAATTGTGATCGTCTGATTACATGCACCAGATTCCTCTATGGCATCATCTCCACTCTTTTCAACGGTCTTGGGTTTCTCATCTGCTTGGCTTGCTCCCGATGTATAATTTGCAGTTGTTTTCTCCTCAGGAGCTGTAACTGTGAGAGACTGACTACATTTTGAAGGTAGACCCTCGATGATTTCATCTCTTACACACTTGTTCCAGAAAGCTGGACTGTTTGGACAATATTCTGAGATCCCACCTGCCTCGCAATTGGGGTTGGATCCAGAAACTTCTTCAGTTTTTTTACTGGGTTCTGAGAGAGAAGCGGTAGATGTTGATATGAACCCAGAAAGTGCTGCAGCTAGAGCATCATCAATCGACACAGCTTTTCTCTTTTCTTCTACAGGAGACTTCAATGGTACGTCTAGGTCCCCACAGACACTAGGGAAGAGCAGGAAAGGAAGCATCAGAAGAAAATTAGGATACATCAGAGAAAATGTGGGGGGGGGATAAAATAGATTTTTTAGGGAAGGAATAAAATAGATTTTAGATACTTGTTTATACTCATTTTATTTATTCATATCTATAATATAAAGATTATGATATATAATTATTTGAATACCGCGAATGTCTGTAAACTACTAAATCATATTACGTTTTCCGAAGTGAAACCACACATGAAAATAACCTTCCCCATGTGTTTTCTTTCTTCTTGCATGTTCAGTAATCCAAACATACCGCGAATGTTCCAATGCAAGGTTGGCTTCTTCTTCTTGTTCCTCCTCATCTCCGCATGAGAACTCGGGGGCATCAATCACAAGACTTGGATGCGTATGTGGAGAACTTACGGAAATTGATGAACTGTCAGTAGGGCTGGACAGCTTATCATCATCTGGACAACCAATGTTTAACTCTGATGCCAAATTAGGAGGATGGTCATTCCCCTCATTGTAAAAAGATCCAAAATTTGAATCGGTGCATGAAAATGAAGGAGCTGAGAATCTTTTGCAAGAAGAAGGCAGTCCGGTATGTTGAGAGTTCTTAGCAAGAATTTCCAGTTGCTCCTCTACTCTTTGAAGCCTCACGTCCATGCTGTTTATCGGCTTAATCATCGTTTCTTCAAACCTTAAACAGATTTCTTCAATCCTGTTCATCCTCTCAACAAGTTGTCCTAAAACTCTTCCGATGTCTTCTGGAGCATTGTTTTTCTTATCAGATGTCAATTGTTTTGGAGGTAAAGTTTCATGCACATTGGCTATCATTGACCTCTCTTCACAGTGAATTCCATTTGTATTATCATCTATCATATCAGTCCTCCTTGTAAACGCCTCATCATTAGCATCATCCTTTATCTGCCTATTATCAGAAGAATGAGTGTCAGTTTGGTTAATGGCTGATTTAGATAATTGCAGAAGTGTTGGAACGAGCATTGCCATTAAGGAACTTTGGGCTGAGCTTTCTATTGTTGGAATAAGGGGGTTTTCTGAATCAACAGGAACAAATGGATCACCAAAGATGTAAACCTCATCTACATATAAACAATCTTTGCTCTGAAGAGATAAGAAACGGATTGTGAGTGAAGCACAAGGTTCAGCATCTCTAATCTCAGCTGTGGCCTCATAAAGCTCCTGAAAATGATCAAATAACAAATAACTGCCAAGAGCTTTGTTATAAGGTCAGATACCAATGACAAAAAGCTAACAGCTTGTGATAACATATTGCGCCAAATAATTAAGGTCCAATGATCCATTAATGGTGTGTTTGCAACACTGAAAGTGGTAGGGAAAGAAGAAAAATGCTAAATAAACTTATTTTCTTGTGTTTGGTTTTACCTTAGGAAAACGGATTATGATTTTTTATATAAATTTAAATATATTTAGATTTCTTAGTTCATTATTCCTTACATAGTGGACACAAATAAATAAAGAGTATCAACAAAAAAATATAAAATGTGCTTTAGCCTGCCTTTTATTTCCCACCACATTTTTCTCCTAATTTTCTTCTGTGTTTTCCTTCCTATTGACTTTCCTTGCATTTTACGGGATCTAAAGGGACCCTCACTCCCGCAACAATTGCAAATATTAACTAACAAGTAAAAGCCCCATGTATCAAAATAATATTGTATTAACTCCGTTCCACTCAACTTTGCCAAGTTGATGTTAGGTGTGAAATTAGAATAGTAAAAACTGTGTGGTTGAGGTTTGTGCAAAGGAGAGAGAAATGACAGAGCCGCAAATTCATTGCTTTCAAGGAAAGTGGCAAAGCTTTTTGAGACAAACATAAAAGAAAAGTTGGCAAAATCCAGTTAGAGGTGACAATTTGGTGAGAACTCGTTTGGGTAAACCATTTTTAAAAAGAACTCGTTTCCGCATATAGTGAGAATAGTACATTATTTTATATTTTATTCTTTTTACTTCAAACGCAAGAGGTGATAAAGCTTTGTCTTTAATAGTTCCAGTTAGAGGTGACAATTTGGCCATCCTATAACCATCTCACAATGAAGAGATCCAAGTGACAAATTGATTTTTAAAACACAGAGTAAACTTAAACAATCGAACCTCTATGCTGCCGCCATCACTCATGGCAGAGTGATTCAGTGACCAATTGACTCCACTCTCAACAGTAGGATCCCCAGGAACTTTGACATCCACCCATTCCTCTTCACTACTGGAACCAGATTTTACCTTCCCAGTGAATTTCTCCATACCTGGGATTCCCTCTTTAATAACCTCCATATGTTGCTTGGAAGCATCTTCATCTTCATTACTAGCTAAAAGAATGTGTCCCTCTCTTTCAGCTGCGTGACAACGAACAGTACAAAGGTACTCATTCTCACCATGTACAGAAGATGCATAGTATATCTCATACACACGTGCACTGCTTCGAACATAAACCTGCTGGATTTCATTCCTTTGAGCAAAGCAGACTACAGAAAAAAACAAGGAAACTATCTGATTATTGAAATCAAGAATGATAAATTAAGTACTCCCTCTTGTCCATACTACAAGGGAGAATTTTGACTTTCACGATCACAGAAATGATAGAAAGCATTCAAAGTAATCTTCATTCTTCTAATGTGCCCTTAAACATCACTATAGGTAATATGTTTGGAGTTTTCACAAGGGAAATTGAGGAAGAAGTAATTAAATATTCATTGATAATAGTATGTAACTTGGCAAGGGAAGACTTTTACAATTTTAGAGCAGAGTTGATAAAATAACATACTACATACTTCCTCCGTTCGGAATTAACTACAACATAGCAACGGGCACGCATCTTAAAAAACTTTGATAAAGTTTTTTCTTCCTATTTTTCCCTCTTTTCTAGTCTCAAACTCCACCGACGTGATGCACTGCACAAACTTCTGACAAAGTCATCCTCTTCCTTTTCCATCTTTGCCATGGATTCCTTATACGGAGTATAATTTCAGTTTCTTACATTTTCCTTCTATCATCTTCCTAATATCGCTCTTCGCTGATTTAAGTATTCTATAAATCTCTATAAATCGGTCTCGGACTATTTTCTCTTTAAGCCTAACTTCTCCTATATCCTTGGTTGGTGGTTTAATTATTCTCCGTTTCTAGATCTGTCAAAGGTTGGAGCTCCTCCGAAAATACATGCTTTAAAGTTTGTTAACTGGTCAAATCTTGCAGGGAGCAATGGAGCAAGCAAAAAATGCATTTTCCATTCAGGATTGTTTGCTGAAACTCCAATATAAAGAAACAAAAAGTGACGAAGAAGAAGATGGTAGAGAAAAAAGTGAAAGAAGAAAAACAGAGTGAATAGAAAGATGAAAGTGCAGGGGAGAGGTTAAAAAGCAGTCTGGGAATTGGGACAGTGCAGGTGGATATCATTTGGGGTTAATAAGTTCAAGGGTATAATAGTTATTTCAGTTATCTATTCTTACTAAATTTAGTAGGGTGTTGCAATTATTTTGAAACTGCCGAAAAAGGAAAGTGTTGCAATTATTTAAGAACGAAGGACATATATGATAGACTTAAACATGGAATTATGAGGTTAATTGAAAAACTATGCCTTCATCGTTATAGAGGTTCACAAATAGAAGAAATGAAGTAAAGTGAATGATAAAAGATTAACTACTAAAATAAACTTAGCAGAATAACAAATTCTTGCTCCCTTTTGTGATAAACACAATGTATAATGACAATTCGGAAAATACTCGCAATCACATAAACACAATTTATAATGACAACTCAGAATGTACTCTCAATCAGATTGTCAGCCCAATGTCACCCCCATTTCATATACTCCATATAGCTGTATAATAAATTACACTGAAAATAATTGGAGTACTATGAGAATAGCAGTCATTCCAGTTAAATGCTCACTAAGCTATTGAATGTGCTAAATTTGTATCATCAACCCACGATTTTGCAACAGATATTTACAAATCACCTAGTTACCAGCTAGAGTCAGTCAGCGATTCAGTGAACCGACTATAGATGCTATAACCAAATTCAACTTCAAGTACATGATTTTATGTAACGATTCTATTCATTAAAATAACACTCCCTAGTAAATAGCTTATTCATTGGCGTTATATTCACCTTATATAGTCATCAACCTAGAAGTACTACGCACACCAACAACACACATACGAAGCCATATTTTAATTCAGTTCGTGTGACCAATAATGATAACATGAGAGTAGATTACTTTTGATCTCACAAGGACCGGAATCAGGTGAATGGGGCTTGGCGATAAGAGGCGAATTTGGAGTAGAATCAGAGTCAATTGGTGAGTCAGTTGACTCGAATGTGACGGCGCCTTCCAGAGATCCGTGAGCAATTTGCCAGTTTGTGGTCGATATAGAGGTCGGAGAACTTTCTCCACTGCAGCAATCGCAATTACCGTGATCTTCACCGCCGGTCGGAGCAGAAGGAACCATCACCATCTTGCATTGATGTTCATGCGTTTTCTGTAAGCCAGATATATATCAGGCGACTAAAAACATAAAAAGAAATTGCAATAAAGAAAAGAAAATGTCCCAAGAACGTTGCACTTTTTGCATACCCCGAGTACTATTAACATTTTGAGGCCGTTTGAGAACACTGTTTTCTGGCTTATCACGCTTGTCAATAACTTTCTCACCAAACACGTAATTTTTGTTTTCGCGCGCTAAATTGTGTAATAAGCAGAAAAAGTAAGGTTAGAGTTACTTTTCTGGCTGTATTGGCTGAAGCTACTGTAGATGATCATTTTAACTATTTTTACATATAATTTTTTCTTTATTTTATTAATATAATATATTTTGAAAATAATTTTTTTAAAATCAGCATAATCAGCCAATGCAGCCAGAACTTCATAAATTTCAGCAGAATCAACCAAAACAGCCGATTTTCGTGCTACCAAACGGACTGTTTATGTTTCTTTATCAATCAACTACAAAAATCAACATTCCTTCCATCTCACTCAAATAGAAAAAAAATTAGTGTACATGGGGTGCGAGTTGTATACAAAATTTGATGTTAAAATACATGTATATAATTTGTGTAGGTATGCAACCAGGGGCGGATCTAGCTATACGTCAGATAAGGCCTAGGCCCAACCTCAAAAAAATAAATTTACTAATATATATATGTATTATACTAATTTGTAGTGTTGTCAAATACGGCATAATAAGAAAGTAATTCAAAATAAACATAAAATCCGTATAAGCAAGATGGAAGTATACTTCCGTGTTGGCTTGCATGTCCTGAGTTCGTATCCTACATAATTTCTTTTTAACTTTTCAATATAATGATAGAGCATAGTGTGTAAACATTTCATTTTTTTTACTTCTAAAGTCTCTTTGTCTCACACGGGAAGAATAAAAGGATTCTTCCTTCAAACATATATATTTAAACTTGGTCTCCTAAGTTTAGTTAATAGAAGCTTAACACCCATCTCGATCAAACAGTGAATGAGCTAAATAGTAATATATTGGGCTTTTGAATATTAGTTTGAAAAATTAATTTGGTCTATTCATTGGGCTTGGTAGGTGAAAATTAGTTTAATATGTATGCATTTGAGGTGTTTTGTATTCGACAAAAAGTCTTATTCCTGTTATATTTGTTTTTTTCTTTGACATTTATGTTGCAAAAGATTTTATTTTATGCATAGTATTTGAAAATAAATTTTGTTAAATAACATACCAGTACTATTTTACTACGTTTTGACATTTTTTTGCAATATACGTTGTTTAATCATATTTTGGCCCCACATAGGTGATTCTTTCACGAGTATCCCGCATACTCTTCCAATGTTATCGAGTAGATCAACATTTTAGAATCATTAAAGCAAACGTTTTTGCTAACCTCGTGCGGGAGTCACTGTTTCAACGAGGAGTGGGTAGGAGTCCGGGACCCCCACAGTGACCATCCTTCGTTCTATAATTTAGTTGTCCCTTTTGAACTTAGGACCAACTAGGTTGGGTATCCACTATAGAACTTTTCAATTCACGGGCTTTAGTCCCATTCCTTGTGACAACTTCTCCAACAATTCTCTATCCAATGTCTTGGTTAGCGGATCCGCTATGTTATCCTTTGACTTCACGTAGTCAACAGTGTTTAATGGTGGTATGTCTACGACGAACGTGTCTAGACTTACCATTTTGAGGTTGCTCTGTGCTCTTCCAATTGCCGCTTGATAGTCGCAATGTATGCATATTGGAGGGACATGCTTCTCCCAACTTGGAATATCCTCGAGAAAATGGCGTAGCCATTCAGCCTCTTCAGTACACTTATCCAAAGCTATTAACTCAGATTCCATCGTGGATCTAGCTATTAACGTTTGTTTCGAGGATTTCCATGACACGGCTGCACCTCCCAAAGTGAAAACATGTCCACTTGTGGACTTTGAGTCCTTAATGTCAGATATCCAACTAGCGTCGCTATACCCTTCAAGTACAGCTGGATATCTTCCATAGTGCAGTCCAAGGTTTTGAGTTTTTCGTAGATACCTCAAAACTCTTACTATTGCCTTCCAGTGTTCATTACCGGGGTTGCTAGTATATCTACTCAGCTTGCTAACCACAAAGACAATATTAGGCCTGGTACAGCTCATTAGATATATTAAACTGCCAATAATCCTAGCGTATTCTACTTGAGAAATACACTCTCCACGATTTTTGGTCAGGTGTACGTTTTTATCTAATGGCGTCCTTGCCTCTTGATAATCATCCTTATTAAATTTATTAAGGATTTTATCAACGTAATGGGATTGGCTTAGCGTAAGACCGTCAGGTCCTCTAATTATTTTAATCCCAAGGATTAAATCGGCCAGCCCTATATCCTTCGTGTCAAATTTAGAATTTAACATGTTTTTGGTAGAATTGATCATTAGATTATTGCTACACACGATGAGTATATCATCCACGTATAAACATAAAATGACATAGTCGTCTACCGTTATTTTCACATAGACGCATTTGTCACTTTCGTTTATTTTAAACTCATTAATTAACATTGCATGGTCAAACTTTTCGTGCCACTGTTTAGGGGCTTGTTTCAATCGATACAATGATTTAATTAATTTACAAACCTTCTTTTCTTGGCCTAGAACACGAAAACCTTTGTGTTGTTCCATATAGATTTCCTCGTCTATATCGCCATTTAGAAAAGCGGTTCTTACGTCCATTTGATGAACTTCCAAATTCCGCAAAGCGGCAATTGCTAGTATCATCCTAATGGAATTTAAGGAGTGTTTGGGGTTGCTTAAAAAAGCGTTTTTCAGCTTTTGGCTTAAAAAAAGCTGAAAAGAGTGTTTTCAAATGACAACTTCTGCTTAAATTAATCACTTAAAAGCTAAAAGCTGGAAGCAGGTAGAAGGGCGCTTTAAACTGCTTCTCACTTTTTCTATTACACAAAAGTACTTATTTTACCAAACACTACCAACTTTTACTTTTTCAGAATCACTTTTTTCTCAAACACTACCAACTTTTACTATTAATCACTTTTCCCAAAATCACTTTAAAAAATCACTTTTTTAAAGTTGAAACAATTGCAAACACTCCCTTATTCTCGTCACCGGAGAATACGTGTCAAAGACTCAAAGTAATCATGGCCTTCACGTTGCTTGTATCCCTTGATTACAAGTCTGGCCTTATACTTTTCAATGGAACCGTCCGGTTTCATTTTACGTTTTAAAAATCCACTTGGAACCCGTCCTTTTTCCCAGTTTTCTCATTCTCACGGGTAAACTTCGAGAATCAATTTCTCATTCACCCGTTATCCATTTTAAGCGTACCATATATCGAATTGTAGCCCTTAACAAGGACAATACGAAACCACTTTGACCCGACCCAAATCGGAAGTGGACCCCACTCAAAAAAATGCCCCAAAATTACCATTTAATGCAATTTCAACACATTTTTCCAACAGAGAGTAATAATATTATTCAATTCCTTCTTTATTTACTACGTTTTCCTTTTTTGCAAGTTTTATATCCGTAGTTCACCTTTAAAATTGTAGATACATAATGAGATGTATACGTTTTTACCTACTAAGAGCATCTCTGATACCTAAGCTTTTAACAATAAAATAATCCAACCACGTCAATTACATACGAAAGTGTTGCATTTTTTTGCTCCAATGTTCTCTTTATTCGGTTATAGGAGGTTGAGTTGTCAAAATAAAACATCAACAGTTTCAAGAATTTAAGTCCACTTTCTCATTCTACAAAGTCAGATGATAGTCAAATACTTGTTCTTTGAAAACCCATTCTACTTGTATTTTGAAAATCCAAAAAAATCTACTCCTTGAAATAGAATGTAACATGTATACACGGATTCATCAACTGTCCCGGTTATATAGAATCAAGAAAGAAGTCAACTGAGCGTGCAACTTTGAGAATCCATTCTGCATTATACATGTTTCTGTCCATAAAAAGAATCTACATTTTTAGAAACACTTTCATAAAGTTACACTTATTCGTCATTCTCTCGCATATAAATGCTCTGCGAATAGGCTAAAGCAAGCCCAACGGGAATTTTGGGATGAATTTTGAATTGGAAAATTATGTGATTAGAAAATCAGGTCTTATTTTATTTCCCATTTATTAAATTTTAATTAAATATGTTTCCACTTGTACAAAATTGCTAGACACCAACGTGATGCATTGTGGAGCCTTGATGGCTTAAGAGCATCTCCAGTGCTATAATGTGCACGGTGCACATGTGACATCCGTCATAGCCATATAAATATTAGCAAATAAATAATCTCTCTCCTTATTAGAATGATTTTACACCATTTTCGTAAGTTTTTTCCTGCAATGTCAACAACAATGTCAACATCTAGACGGTCTCCTTGACATTGTGGAGAAAACTTACCAAAACTATATAAAATCATTCAAATAAGGAGAGAAAGAATTTATTTACTAATATTTATGTGGTTATTTCTCATGCCACGTGTACACCGTGCACATTTTACCATTGGAGATGCTCTAAGAGTTTATGTTTTGGCAAATGACATTCACCCCACAAGAATAAACAATTTGTACATGTATTGCCATGTGTCACAATTTTTTTAATGTTAAAAGCTCAATATTGGAGATGCTCTAAACTTCTATTCCATATTTCTTAATTTTTTGTCATCTTTATAAATACTTTTTCATATAATAATACCAAAGAATACTATTTGGATATATTTTGGTCATTTCTCATTAAAAATAGCAACTAAATCTTTTCTAAGACAAACATATAAAGTTAGGCCATTCTCTTAAATCATAACCAAAGTGACCAATCAAGAGTTCTGAATTAGATTGTACTTGAAAAGTATGTTTCACATGCTAGAGATCACACAAAGAATAGTCTGCATACACAGGCACATAATGTAATAATAATAATACTCCATGTCTCCATATGATTAAGTTACATGGTTCAGCTGAGGAAAATTAGACACTAATAATATCATCTGTAGATTCTTTTACAACCGCCTCACATCACATACGAAACTTTTTAAATAAATCATCTTTTATTTACTCTTTTCTGATATCGGTACACATTTAAATTTTCAT